GTCGGGTTTTTTTGTCATCCCTAACATTGGTAGTCATCGTAACATAGCAGTTGTTGACCTCACCATGCCAGATGTCCAAATTGCCCTAGGTATAAATTTAGGTATCCGGTTGAACAATTAGGTTTTCATTGCAAAATCCCCAACTGATGAAGGAGGCGAAACAGTGAGATGGGAATTTCTATCGGTGGTTCCCCTCTCTATTTGCCTGTGATTTCACCATCCCAAAAAACCAACAGCTCGATTATACCACAACAATTATCTGTCCTCAGCTTTCTCTGTGTGTGTATGTGTGTGTGTATGTTTGGTGAAAATTTTATTAATGGTCACCGAAGTTTACGCAAAATTTGAGCCCTTATTTGTTAAATTAAGTTAAATGAATATAATACTTGATATATGGATTGACCGACCCCTCACATTGCATGTGAGTCCCGACCTGAATTAAAAAAATGCCAACCTCCCCCGTGTGTGTGTGGTGTGATTCCCTATGTCAAGTATTATGTTTGTGTAGCAAAACTCTTGTTTGTTTGATAAACCTTTCTGGGATTGCTGCTGCAGCTCATACTATGTGTAGGCTGCGAGGATTCTATTCTTTGAGTTGGGTCTGGCAGGGAGAAACGGACCCGTATCTTGGCGGGGCAAACCTTGATGACATTGCGAGGAGGGAAATTGACGGCGTTCTCTCTCTCTCTTGCATATGCAACTGGGCTTTTGCAGCCATGGCAGTGTCCGACTCCATTTTGCCTGTTGCATTTGCATATCTGTGCCTTACACGGATTTATTTATTTCAAATCTTGCTTATTTACTTATAAGTGAAGTTTAGAATCTTGGACATGCTCTAGCTCATTCTTGCAAAATCCCAACTCAAGAATGAGGTGAACAAAGAGATGTGATGGTTTGTAAAGGGTGGTTACCCAGCTCTGATTGCCAATGATTTAACCATCTACAAAAATCAACAGCTCTTTTAGACCAGTATTTTGGATCCATTTGAATCCGCGACTACTACCTGCCCATTTCTATCTTGTTATAGTTTAGTAATTTATAATGAAACCCAAACTAGCTTTATCTAAATATGTGGGATTTTGGGTTAATTTCACAGACGGTCACCGAACTTACGCAAAAATTACAAAACAGTCACTGAAGTTCAAAACATGTAGAAACAATAACTGAAGTTTCACGCACTTTCACAA